CCAGTCTGGGCAACATAGCAAGACCTTGTCACTAAAAAAAAGAAAAAGAAATTAACTGGGCATGAAGTGTGCACCTATAGTCCCTGTTACCCGGGAGGCTGAGGCAGGAGAATCCCTTGAGACCAGGAGTTCAAGATTAAGGTAAGCTATAGTCATGCCACTGTACTTCAGCCTGAGTGACACAGTGAAACCCTCTGTCTCTTAAAAAAAAAAAGTGCCTAAATTCTTACCAAACAGCAGAAAGTCGTATCTCTTTTGTATTGTTTTTTCTTCTTGGGTTTCTGCCTTGACAGTCTTATAAGAAAAAGTACATGTGTAAAGTCCAGACAAAGGTTCCAGAAAATCTTTCACCAATAGCTCTCCTACTTTAGTTATATTTATTCGATTATTTCCTAAACAGAAATAGTAAATTACTTGGCTATTTAATATACAACAATTCAAACATTATTTACAAATACACATAAAAGTTTTAAAAAATGAACTATCATCAATAGTTCAAAAATCCAGCAAAATTTTAACTCTCATATTACTCTATGGAAAAACCACAAAATAAGTGCATTTTTGAAATACATGTTAGTTTTCTTTGATTCATTTTTTGGCATTTAGTTTCAATCGGAAGTGAGATTACGTTGCCCTGCAATATGATACGATTTCTTCACGTATGATAGAAATTAATCAATAATGCTTAAATTTCAAGTCACTCTTCTAACACGATGAAAAATGACATATTTGATATTTCATCTCCTATACCTGGTGCTACAAGGATAAATTTTATTTTATTTTTATTTTGTGAGACACTGTCTCATTGTTGCGCGGGCTGAGTGACCTCAAGTGATCTTCTCCCACCTTGGCCTCCCAAAGTTGCTAGGATTAAAGGAAGGAGCCACTGTTTAAGTTTTAGTTTTATCAAGATTTCTGAATTAATACAGCTCTGGGAAGTAGAGCACAAAAATTACTGCTTCAGTTTTGGTATAAGGAGAAAGTAAACCATAGATCAAGACACATGACTTATCTAAGGATGGAACAATCGAAAATGCCAGCAAGATCCTATGTCTACAAAAAAATTAGAAAAATTGGCCAGATGTGGTGGCACTTGCTTGTAGTCCCAGCTACTCAAGAGGCTGAGGATGGAGGATCATAGGAGCCAAGGAATTCAAAGTTGCAGTGAGCTATAACAATTCCATTGCCAGGTAACAGAGTGAGATCTTATCTCAAAAAAACCAAAAAAATTAAATTTCAATTTGTTCTTTCCAATAAGTGATCATGCTTTTCTAAACAAAGTTCTCATCATTAAAAAATAACATTACAATCAAATTTACCTGTTAATGTCTTTTCATTAGGCCCAATCCATATGTAGGTGGGGTCCACTATTTCTTTCTTAGCATATTTATAATCCATACAGATAAGGACTGGGCTATTTTGATGTAATTTTACATATATTTTCACTGTGACAAAATAAGATAATGCATAACTACATTATATAGCAGACCTAAATTAATAAATATACTCTTAACATGTTGTCCCAAAGATACTAATTAGTTCTTTTCGGGAATTTCACTATTCTAAAAAATCAGTATAACATTTTGAATGCTAGTCTGAAATCCTTTTTGCTTCTCATAGTAGGTTTTAAAAACGTCAGACTATTAAAAGAGTCACGGTATTTTTACTTTTTCTGCGTTACTATAGCTTTGTTTATAAAAAAATGTATGTAACACATATAGAAGTTCACTTTAATGTACAAAATCAGAACTCAGATCATAATTTCTAAAAGGTTAGTGGAATCAATTTAAAGTTCAGCAAAGGAGTTCATCTTGGTTGCAAAATTATTTTAAAGATGATCATGGTCATCTCTAAGGGAAACTTGATATTTAACTGCAAGTTTCCTGTTAGGAACTACAATTAAGCCTATATGGGGCATACTAGGAAGATATTTTGTAATTACTTAACACCTATTCTGTTGCGGTGGAAGCAGCGATAGTATCTTGGAATCACTGCAGTGGCACAAGATATTATCTGATAATTGTAAAGCCTACTGAATGCCAGGCTCTGAGCACATAAAGACACATTCCCACAATTTGGTTGGGGAATGGAGAGGGGAGAGGATCCAAACATGGAGCGATTCCAAACGTGACACATGCTTTGAACTGGCTCAGAGTTATCAGTTTTCCTTAGGAAGTATGCCAAATTTCACTTCAGTGATAAATGAATATTTGAGCTGAACTTCATAAAGAGTGCCTAGGAATTCTAGTTAATAAGGGGGGGGCCTAGGACATTGCAAACACTGGGACTTCCCTCCCTGAAATTAATCCTCTGAGTGGGCCTCGCGCATTGCAAAATGGCAAAGACGCCTAGAAGTGAAGTGGCATCAGAGAAAGAGGTCTGGATTAAATTCTAGCTCCATGAGCTCTGTAGCCTTAGGCAAGGTACTACTACCACTAAGGTCGCTGTAAGGAAAAGATGCGACAGCCTTCCCAAACTAAGCACACAGTAGATGCTCAATAAACGTTCCCCCTTTTCCCTCAGTGGGAAGAACCTTAGCAGGCTCATGGCACCTCCAGTTCTTCTGATAAGCCCTGCGTGTGAAAAGACCCTCAGTACCTGGGTGTCCTGGCTGGCCATAAACGTAGCCTTTCTTACTGAATAAGGACGATCGCTGCCATCCAACTGCGGAGGAAAGAAACCACTGACTTTTTAGTTAGAAGAGGAGCCAAGGCGCAGAGCGGGGCGGGACGGGGAGAAGCCGAGGAGGCAGGACGGGGAACTTTGCACTGGGGGAGAGGTGTGGGGACCGGGCGGGAGGAGCCCCACCTCCTGCGAGATACCAGAGCACCGCGGAGAATAGGACCCACGCTCGCATCACGGCTCAGGGACTAGCGTCACGGGAGGCGTTGAGGGACGGGCTCCTTCCTACCTCAACCCGAGCCCTACGCCTCCCCATCTCTCCTCCGCTGAGCGGAACCAACCGCCGGGGTCGACTTCCCCTACCCGTCGGTCGCGACGGCGGGAGCGCCGCAAAGCGCGTGCGCGCGGCGGTCCTAGCGTGCAGGGCGGGGCGAGTGCGCAGAAGAAGAGCGTCCCGCCCCCTCGAGCCCACGCTGCATTAGTCCCTTAGACGCTTCTCGCTTGGATGTGGCCCTTTTCTCCCGCGTTCTCGGCCGCGGAAGAAGAAAGTAAACGGAAAAGATCCAAGGTCTTTGCATCCTGGGGACTCCCTTAGCCAAGGGCCTGAAGGGATCAATGAGGGAACACCACCGTGTGTCGCAAGGATGGTGGTGCGGTACAGTGTCTAGGTAATGCGATCCCACTGGGACCTGAGGAAGGGTGAAGCTTGTATGAGTTTTCTCCTTAGGTGAAGCATAAAGCCCTGCGTGGAAATTTCCTATGCCTTTCTTCCCATGAACTCTGAAACTGTGTGCCCAATCTCTTTTAAACTGACACGCAACTGCATTGTACCCACAAAATTAAGATCCAGAAGACCCACGTAGTGCCCCAGCAAGAAGCCTGCAGACCTTCCCACTCTAGAGGAACACTGAATCTTCATTTCCAACTTCTAGAAGGAGACGATGGGGGAGAGAACCCTAATGCAAAATTTATCTAGGCTCCTGAAGTACCCTTGCTTTTTAAAAATGGGCCTGATTGAAAGGCAAGAATCCAAGATCTGCTTTTCCTGTGGGGAAGGCTGATTTGTCAAAACCAGAGAGCTTCCTGCAGCTTTCATGGCTCCTTCTTGGCTACTTGTTTGGTGGCCTGAAAGGCCTTATGGGTTGTCTATTTCTTAGTAGCGGGACATTACCCTCAGTAGTGGCTTTGAGTAGGTTGGTAAGTAGACAGCCCAAGGTTCAGATAGGGTGCAGAATGGTTATTTTGGGTGAGATCAAGAGTTTTCAGTTTTATTTCCTTTAGCCGAGTCAGTACTTGGACTATCTTAGATGGTCCAGGAGCAACCTTTGTCAGTAATTTCATTTTTAGTCACTGTTAATTTTACCTATACATTGTATGGCACGAACTGTGATTCAGTGAGTCAGACCCACCCATCGTCAGTTACTGAGTCTAGATTCGCGGTTTAATCTTAACTGTTCCCTTCTTAAGGTGATAATGAAGAAAAATTTAGGCATTATCTCTAATTCTCTACAAGTGTGTCATTCCAGTTTTAGTTGAAGTACATTATAAATCCAGTGTGTTTTATTGGCTTCCCAGTTATAAGTAATTGATCCTTTAATTCCTATGTGATAAACTTTGAATCCTATGAGAAGAGACTTTGACTCCTAACCAAATGAGTAGTAGACTATTGAAAGTGTCCATCGACTCCTTTAACATAAACTATTTTTTAGAAAAAATTTAGATTTACGGAAAAATGGCAAAGATAATAGTTCTCATGTATCCCCCATTCCCCTATTATTGTCACCTTAACATTGGCATGGTATACTTCTTGCAATTAATGAACCAGTACTGATACATTATTATTAATTGAAGTCCATACTTTTCCCAGATTTCCTTAGTTTTTACATAATGTCCTTTTTCTGCTCCAGGATCCCATCTGGGATCCCACATTATATTAATATTTAGTCATCATGTTTCCTTAGAGTCCTTTTGGCTGTGTCAGTTTCTCAGACTATCGTTTTTGATGACCTTGATCTGGCCTTAATTGGTCAGGTATTTTGTAGAATGCCTCTCCACTGCAATTTGATATGTTTCTCATTATTTTACTGGGGTTATGGAGTTTTGAAAGGAGGACCAAAGAGGTAAAGGGGCACTCTCATCACATTATGTCAAGGTTTTGTACCATCAACATGCCTTATCACTGTTGCTGTTAACCTTGGTCACCTGGCTGAGGCAGTGTGTTGGCTAGGTTTCTCCTCTGTAAACTTACCCCCTCCTTCATATTGTACTCTTTGGAAGGAAGTCCCTTCCTGCAGCCCACACTAAAAGAGGGAGGATTTATGCTCCACCTCCTTGAGGGTGGGGTGGCTACATAAATTATTTTACCCATCTGCTTTTTATCTATCCGCTTAAGTATCATTCTCCTTAGTCTGACATACTCACTATAGAACTATTTACAGAGTAGCAACATGTTCCACTGTTACAGTGCAAAAAGGACATTGTAATGGAAGATGATAAATGTTCTTCACAACTTTTTAATAACCAAATAACGATTCATCCTCATGCCATGCCTGTGAGATTTTACAGTTCCTCTTCTGCTACTTTTGATGTGCTATTTTTGCTTTTAGAAACTAACAAACAACAAATTTCCCCTTTCACAACTAAAATTAGACCTAGTGTTTAGAGTATTTTCTCTAAAACTGATATCCTGCAGAACTCCAACTCATACAGCTATTGAGATACTACTGTGGTACTGTGATTTTAAAGCTAATGCAAGTTATTTGCCCATTTAAATGCACATATACATATGACATAGACTATTTAAAATAAACTAAAATTCATACAATTATAGCATGCATACGTTAACTCCTGACTGTGGGTTTCTTCTGATATGGTCAGCTAATCTACGAACTCTTTATGTTCCAAATATATTTGAATACACCAATAATATAATTTTGTAACAAGGGTGATCATGGCCTTTTGGAAAATCATTCTTATATTTTCCTCTTCAGCACACGAGGTATCTTCAAAAGGTCTCCCCTAAGCCAGGCACAGGGGCAGGCACGTGTAGACCCAGCACTTTGGAAGGGTAAAGTGGGAGGATTGCTTGAGCCCAAGAGTTCAAGCCTCCAGTGAGCCATGATTGGGCTTCTGTACTCCAGCCTGGGCTACAGAGCAAGACCCTGCCTTTAAAAAATAAAAAAAAAAAAAAATAAGGACTCACCTAAACAATGTCCCTTAGATCTCTGTATGAAGAACAATTCTGTTTTGAAAAGCTGTTTTGTGGTCGCTTCCATTTTCCTCTTCCTATAGTCAAATACGAGCTCTACATAGTGGTGAACACATTGGAAGAAGATGTTGATTTGTGCATTTCTGTGCACTAACGTCTTTAAGTTAATCTTACAGTCCCCACCCTTTAGCTCTATTTTTTTTACTTGCTTTTTGATCTCTCATAGCCGGGTAATATAAAAATACAGGCTGTTAAACGCTCGAGCTAGTAGTAGTATGTGAGTGGTGGCCAATAAACCAAGTAGTTCCCAGTGGGGAAAACAAAAGAGAATTGCTTCCAAAAATTAAAAAGTTGAGTTGATAAAAAAGTGCCTTTTGAACTTTCTGAAAATTTGGACCAAAGACTTTCATCATGTGAAATGAAAATCCGAGGCAGGGAAAAGAAAAGAAATAAGCCTTCAAATAAAGTGAGTTCTCATTGATGGTTTTCATGGTTATCATCCCCAAATCTAGACAAAAAGTTCCACATCTTTGAATCTGAGCTTGCCAAGAAAGCGTGGCAGGTTCCCCAGCCCCCCGCCCCCGCCGCCAACACACTCGCAAGGTGGCATTACTCTCTCATCCACTATCCTTCTGAAATAGGCGTTTTGAAACCATTTACTGATGCGCCCTTTCCATCGGGGTTCCTGACATTCAAAAGCGGGCTGGAGGCGCGGAACCTGCAGCGCTCCGCGGTGAGCGTCCTTTAAAGTCGCCGCCAGCCAGCGCCGCTGTAACCCCGCGCACCGGCAGGTCGCCGGCTCCTGTCCCTGTCTTTCAATCTGCGCCGACGCGGCGGCCGGATCCCGGGGACTCCCCGCGCCGGGAATCTCCCGCCAGCTGCGCGCCGCGTCCCGGCGACGGCAGGAGCACGTGGAGAGGCCGGGTAGCCTCAGTGGCAGCTCCAGCCCAGCCCGGCGGCGACATGGAAGGTGAGCCTCCCGCCCGCTTCTTCTCTAAGGGATCTTTGAGAAGCTCGACAGATGCACGTTGCAGAAAGAGTTTCCTTCTGAATTTCGGTTTTGCTTCTATTTCTTTCTTTTGTCGAAAGTAAATAGGTATTTCAGAGGGAAAAGCGTGTCATACATCCCTTGTTTGCACTCCCTTCGCCCTTTGGAGTGTGATAACTTCTCCACAATTTTCTTTCTTAGGAGTTGTCAGATATGAGGGGTCAACCCTATCTGCAGAGGAAGAGCACTTAGGGGCATCCCTGAAATGGCAGCATACGTGGGGTGGAAAAACTAACCCTTTTGGATGTTTGGTTTTTTTTTTTTTTTTTTTTGGTGGTGGTGGTGGGGTTCCATGGCCTCAGTGTCTATTGGAAGTAGGATAATTGGAGTGACTCGTTTTGAATGAAAGGTTGACTACTCTTTTCTTCTAAAGATAATATGTCATATGGGAAAGGTAAATTTTGAAGTGGTTGGGACTTGCCGTTCCCTTAGAACTTGATCTTCTGAAGAGCCTTCTGTACCAAGATGTCAAGGTCACATGAAGAGTTTCATTTGAATTAATTTTGAAAGTCATAAAACTATCCTTGCTTCTCAAACATGCTTCAGTATTACTTCCTTGGGATAACTAAAATTCCACAATGCGATTGTTAACTCTACAGTAGTCTTTTCAACAAGTGTGTCTAAAACCTTGTAAATGGCAAGTGTGTCTAAACTTGGGGGAGGTGGTGGTGTTGAAACAATCAGGATTTGTGAGAAAAGTATTCTATTAAAAACGAGATATTAAAAAGTGAGAACTGACACCTAGACAGTTACAATGTTAATTTGCTAAATATTGTGAAGATCACGGATACAATAATCTCTTCATAATAATGAAAGGATCTCTCATTGGCAATGAATCTTCATTTTGGTAGCTTTAGTTCTAGAGAATATGAGGTTATTAAATATTACGAAAACTCTTTGTGCTTTTTTTTGAATCATCAGGGTTTAAAAAGACTTAAAAATTTTGCACTTTGAAAATTTAAATAATGGTTTATGAAGTGTAATTTTTAACACGTAAAAGTTTCATTCGCCGGGAACAGGGGACAAAAAGTTAAGCTGCTGTAAACTATGGGAAAAATACTTTTTATAAAAGTTCTCATGCTTTAAGTTTTACAAATGATCGATTTATTT